ATAAAACTTATAATATCATATAATTTAAAATAAATTTTTTCATATTTAAATATTTATAAATTAATTTAAATTTGACTCGAAATTTGATTTGAACTTAACTCAAATAAATTTAAGTCAAAATTGAATTAAGTTAAACTCGAGTTGAGTCAAATTGAGTCGAGTTGAAAGATTTTATAAAATAAATTTAACTCGACTCGACTCGAAAAAATGAGTCGAATAGAGTTAATCTTTAAACTCGACTCGACTCGACTCATTCAGAACTCTATTTATATATTTATTATATATGAAAGTTAACAATCAATTAAATGATTATAATTAAATATATTCTGATAAATATAGTAATTTATAATTTATTGAAATTATATTTTAAAAAATAGAAATTTATATTATTTTTTAAATAAAGAAAAATTTAATAAATTTTAAATAAAAATTAGTTTTTAATAATACTCAATATATTATTTATAAATTAAAGATAAATATTTTATTAATTTTTGATATAATTTTAATTATATTATTAATAGTATAATATTTATATAATTATATTTATTATATTAAGACTAGTTTATTGAGTAATTAATTTAATATGTTATTAAATTGTTTAATTAGTTTAAAAACTAGAATAAATAAAATTAATTATTATTATTTTCAAAATAGTATAATACAACTTGCATGCATAAAAATCTGATTACTAATTAAGATTATCAGAAAAATGACCATATGTCAATTAAAATATTATAAATAATTTTAATAAAATAAGATGCATTTATTTCAATTTCTTAAATAAACAATAATAAATACTTTTAATATTCAAAAGTAATAATTGTTTTAGTTGTAAAAGATATCTTATTATGATATTAAATTAGTATTTAAAAAAGAGTATAATTGTATGATAAAACTATCAAGCTAAATAAAAGTAATAGAACTGATAAAGTAAAAATTGCATACCTTTAGATTTCATCACCTAATTTACTTTTTGAACCATTCAAATTTATTCAAGAAAATATTATCTATTTAGTTATTCTTTAAATATTAAAATAAAATTTAGTTTTACTTTTTGTTATACTTGTAATAGTTATTTTTATTTTATATGAATTTTTACAAGAATCATTAGAAATAAATTCAAAAGATAAGAATTTGAAATACTAATGAGATAAATAAAGTAAAACAATTTTAACATTCAATTTAGTAATAAAACCTTCTACTGATTTAGTATTACTATTCAAATGGGTAGAGACAGAAGAGGATCTTGAATATCTTTCATTTAACTTATAAATGACATATAGTAAAATATATTTTTATAATAACTCAGTTAATATCAATACTAATAATATAATTTACTACTATTAGATTTATCTTGTCAAGATAAATTTTAATGATATTAAAATAATTAAATCTAATTATTGGTTAATTTAAAAACTAAAATATATAGGATAACAAAATTTAAAAACTCCTGTAATATGCTTTATGCTGCGCTTTCGAATCACGAGGAATATGCTCTTTATTCGATTGCCGTTGGACTTATTGGTGATATCTTTCGTGCCCTGCAAGAGGCATCATTGCCATATTGTGATACATTTATGAACATGTTATTGCAAATGCTTCAAGTATTTTTTTTTCTCCTTTCTAAGATTTACCATCATTATTAATACTTTCATTCTCTCTAGAGTCCTATATTGAACAGGAACACCAAACCCGCAGTCTTGTCTTGCTTTGGCGATATTGC